AATTCCTTGGAAGAAAAATGAGTGTTAAATGAATTTTATTTCTTTTTGGAAAGAATCAGACCAAAAAAAACAACTTTCCTCCTAAATTCAAAGTCATGGAATAATTAACTGTTAACTTTTCATTTGATTAGAAAGACATTAAGGGGCAAATGTTCAAAGTAGAGTGTAGTAAGTCAGCTGAACCTCCATTTGTGCTAATGGGATGCAGTTGGCTAAGTTCCCTGGACAATGCTTTGAACGTACCCCTAGAACTTTTTAAAATGTTGTGAAGCACATTAAAATATGGAATGTTTTTAGATTTTCTACTTCTTTTAAACACAATAAAGAAGAAAAAATTGTAAAGGCAGTCTTTTTTTTTTTTTGGCACAGAGGAAAGAAGGACATGGGTATTATTTAATGATGGTGTTCCTGGTTGTAAAACTCTTTAATATTATACAGTTAGAGGGCCACAGAAAAACCCTAAAATTTGTTTGGTGCTGAACTCCACCATTGTAGGTATCTCTGAAATAGTCCAAAAAAGAAAAGTAGTGATCCTATTTAGGGAAAAAAAATGTATTCTTTCATTCCAAAATCTAACAGCAAATATAATATTTCTTTTAATGAATCAGCAAGTTTTTGTGTGGCTTCTCTGTTAACAAATATATATATACAGTTTCAGACAATATGACATGTTAAGTTCAAGCACATAGTTTTAAAATGACCACTTGTATAAGAATAGAATTGGTGGAGGGATGGAGGGGCCATAGACTGAGCCTACATTGACAGCAGTAGATTTATTCAACCACAAGCTCTAACAGCTTAGTTTGATCAAATACTGCCTTTGAGGAATGCTTAAGAAAAAGAGACTTGTGTAATAACTGCCTAAGATATTTGAAGATTTTCACATGTAAGAAGGATGCTACCTATTCTGTGTCATTTTAAAGAACAGAAAGAGAAGTGATAGAGGAAGATAAAAGCTCACTTTTTTACAGAGTTCTCCAAAGGGAATGAAAAATTTTTAAAGAGGTAAGCTTCTTATCACAAGAACTAAATATAAGTGAAAGTGTACAAGGAGTTTTTGCATTTGGAAGGAAGTTGGACTTCAATAGTGTCACCTAATCCCGGGTGATTCTCAGAATTCCTGTAATATTGTCATTGCCATTATTTTAATTCAGATCCCATAAGCTGCACCCCATGCTTAATGAGTCAGAATCTCCAAGAAGATGTATCTGTGATGAAGAATAAGTACTTGATAGGAAAATAAAATTACCTAGGGAGATAAAGTCAACAGTGTCTGGGGATGAAATTTTCATAATTGTCAAGATTATACAGAGTAGTGATTATAGAGCTCAAATTATGAAACAAAATTTAGACATATTAGCATAAATTGTCCATAAAATTTTGGTTACACCTGCAAGATGGATCAGTTCAAATTTCATATTCTTCGAGATTTTTCAGTCATTTAATAAAGTTGTATTAAGGGCTTATCATATATTGTGTTAGGCTGAAGGATACAAGAAAAAGTTATGAGCAAACATCAGGGATTTTGCTTTCAGAGAATAAAGCCTATGAACACCCACAAAGTTAAGATTATGAATAAGCAAATAAACAATTTCAGCTTGTAAGACTTTTTTATATCATTGTTGCATTTCTTAAGATATCCTGGGTTCAGATTTGACCTCTACCATTGGAGTCACACATCCTGGGAAGGTTCTTAAACTCTCTGTTCCATAGTTCTACCTTTTACAAAATGGGGATACTAAAAACAAAGAAGCATCTTTTAGTGTATAGAAATGACTAGAAGTCCCCACAGTATATCTAATACCATGCACGTGGTAATTAATTGACAACCATTAGCTATCATGAGCATGATTTTGATTGTTGTCATCAGATGTTTAATCATCCCGAGGGAATGCTTCAGAGGAAGCAAAACCCCCAATTCACTGGGGATATTGTCTTTTTTATGATTTATATCTAACTTTCGACATCAAAACCAACTAAAACCCTAAAGTCAGATGAAAACATGCCAGAAATTCTTAAATGAAAGAAAGATATAGGTTGGAGGAGATAGAGATCAGGAAATAGGACATACCAGTAAAAATGTGCAACGTTACCACTACCCATGGGACTATATGGGTATCTTCTCAAATCCAACTAAAATATTGCTGTAGTAACTTGCTTTGCCAGTCTGTTCTGTTCAGAAAACATTTCTTTCTATATGCTAGAAATTCTTTCACCAAAAGTAACACATTTAACTTGTTTGCTCATGTCCAGATAAGAAGTTTTGATCAAAATAAAAATATTTGTCCATGCCAGGGAAACTGGAGAATTTATTTTCAACTTATAGGTAGATTAATGTGAATTATTTTAGGGAGAAAAAAAACTTTCTTAATTTACATTCATAGATTACTCTCCTTGCCTTTACCATCCTCATTTTCTTTTTTTTTTTACCTCGTTATTAAATATATTTCTATGCATTTGGAATATGAGTAGATGGTTTTAATAACAAATTTCAGCAATACTTTGTATAAATTGAGGAATCCTTTAACAAACTTAAAATGTAAATCTTTCTCTACCGCTATTTTGCCTTTCATTTATTCTTTCAAATATAAGCAAGCAAGTTTACTTTCATTTCCTGAAAGCCCTTTTGTCAGACATGTGACTGTGGGTTTTGCAGTGTAGCACAATGTTTGATTGAATGTCAGAGGAAAATCACCCAGATCAAGTTAGAAGAGTGGGTTGACAGAGTAATGACATTAACAGTCCCTCTTGTTGGTTTGAGATACATAACTCAGCAATCAGTGGCATCAATCATTATATTTTGGGTAAAGTGGGATACATTTAGTAGAATAAGCGAAAACTGAAACAACATAGCCAATGATGACTTAAAGATTAATAGAATGTGCAAATCATTATATATATCTATAGATATGTCTCACAGGTTTAATATATTTAAAGCAGCTTATAAATATATTTATATAAATATTTCTGAAATAACACTGAAGTGAGCGTGATGCCAATCTTTGAAGCCCCAAATAACAGATGCAATTAGTTGTTCAAATTTTCTCTTATGTTTGAAACTGATTAAGCAGTCTTTTCTTGAGTGACAGAGTAACATCTAACAGTGCAATGTAGAAGATTCATTAACATTTTATGCTATTAATTGAAAATAAGTCACTTAAAAAAGAGGATTTAAGCGTGGGTATTGTGAGACTACACCAGAAGTCATACACAGTAGACTGAAATCTTTATGTAAAAATAAATATAAGCAAACATTACTTATGTGTTAAAAACAATTGATGATATGATTCTAATTATGATGATTTTTAAAAAGGAAGCCAGATGTGATAAACATAGGTATTACTGCTCTGTGGTAGTTGAAATTTTTGTACTAATATTACAATAGTGTAATAATGTTGGAATTTTTAAATTTTGTTTTCTAAGGCTCGAACTCTCTCTCATTTCCCCCAGCTCCTGCTGTTTGCATGATTTTTCTCTTCGGTTCTCAGTAATGCATATGATCACTGTTTTTTTTTTTTCTTGTCCTTGTTTAAAGAGCTGGTCTAAGATACTGCCCATTTAAAACTCATATTATACAAATTCTACCTAGTGTCTCCTTTACATGCTAGTAAATTTAGAGAAATTTGTGTTTGTTGTTTCTTAATACTAAGAAATGTGAATTTTCTGGGCACAAGTGACAATCTAGTTTTGTCTTATATAAGATGTTCTACAGTACTTTAATTGTACTCATATGATATATTTGCTAGTACTAGCATATTTTTCTCAGTTGTGCTTTCATTATTTGGTAATGGTCATGTTTTAGAACTTTAAATTGTTTTACATGTCATAATTCTGTTGCAACCTCACTATATCATATATAAGGCCTAGAAAAAATGTGTAAAACATGTATATATTGCTCATATTCACAGAGCTATGTATTTAAGTCTCTAGGAAAGAAAAGGCAATGAAAGGCTAAACATTTCCAATAATGAGCTTGATTAAAAATATCTACCAAGTAAATATCAGGAATGGTTTCCAACAAAAGCTGCCACACTGAGTTCAACTATAGAACTTTAACAAATGCAATTGTGTCATTGGGTTTAGAAAGATGGAAACTATATTTAAACTTAAAACCATATTTTTTATTTTTATTATTTTTAATTTTTTATTGTTATGTTAATCACCATACATTACATCATTAGTTTTTGATGTAGTGTTCCATGATTCATTGTTTGTGCATAACACCCAGTGCTCCACGTAGAACGTGCCCTCTTTAATACCCATCACCAGGCTAACCCATACCCCTACCCCCTCCCCTCTAGAACCCTCAGTTTGTTTTTCAGAGTCCATTGTCTCTCATGGTTTGTCTCCCCCTCTGACTTACTCCCCTTCATTCTTCCCCTCCTGCTATCTTCTTCTTTTTCTTTTTTCTTAACATATGTTGCATTATTTGTTTCAGAAGTACAGATCTGTGACTCAACAGTCTTGCACAATTCACAGCGCTCACCATAGCACATACCCTACCCAATGTCTATCACCCAGCCACCCCATCCCTCCCACCCCCCACCACTCCAGCAACCCTCAGTTTATTTCCTGAGATTAAGAATTCCTCATATCAGTGAGGTCATATGATACATGTCTTTCTCTGATTGACTTATAAAACCATATTTTAAACTGCATTTCTAAACACATGAATTTGTCATGAATCATGACTAAATCTAGATTTCATTTTAAAAATCACAACTGTAAAAAGAATACTCAAGAGATTGACATGTTTTGAGAGTATTTTATGTGGTCAAGTATGTGGGTTGTGGTGATCTATTACAGTATAACAGATTGGAAGAATCTTTCAAATAATTATCTTTTAGTAATCACTTACTGTACTCAGAATGTCATCACAGACCACCCAATGGGAGCAAACAATGAATAGTTGACAAAATTGAGTCAACACTGTTTAACAAATGTAAGGGAACAAAAGTGAGAATGCGTAAATGTAATATTTGTTGTTTTATATATTCCAGATTCAGAACAATTTGTGGGCAGGAAATGCGAGTGGCGGTTCTGTGGTTACTTCATGCATGTTACCACGTGACACTTCCTCCTGCATGACACCTTATCCTCACTCGCCTCGGACAGATTCCAGTTACACAGGGTTTTCAAACCACCAGAACCAGTTCAGCCACGTGCCCCTCAACAATTTTTTCACTGACTCTCTTCTTACTGGGGCTACCAATGGACATGCATTTGAAACAAAGCCAGAATTTGAAAGGAGGTCTTCCAGTATCGCAGTTCTTCGAATGAAAGCCAAGGAGCACACTGCCAATATTTCATGGGCCATGTAACATACAGTACTCTTTTATTTTTCTTTTAATGGCAAAGTAAAACATTCTATTTCTCATATTTAAAGGATACCACAATAAGCTGCTGTGTGTGGAATTGCTAAAGGTCAAGGTATACAGTGAGACCAGCTTAAATGAATAGTTGTTATTATTTAACATTCAAATCTAAGAATGAACCTCTGAAAAGACTAAATAGATTTACCATCCATCAGTCTCCACAAACTCTGTTTTAGTAGTAAATTTTTTTCTATTGTACGAGTCGATGAAATATGATCATGCAACTTCTTAAAAGAATAAATGTATTAAACAAATTCCTCTGTTATAGATTGATTTATGTCAATTTTGTATAACAAGAAATCCCTTGTAAAATAATATCTGATAAAGGAGGAAATGCACTGGGGAAAATGTCAAGATACCAAAGCTGTCAGGTAAATATTGAAGCAGGGTGTTTCGGGGAGTTGACTGTTATTTCTCCCTCTCTGGCTCCAAGACACAACGGTCATATCTCCTGTTGCTGAGAATTTATCTTCAGGCCTCAAAGATTTTTTTTACCCCTGGCTGTTTTCATGAATTTCCACCCCATGAAATAGAACTCTTCTAAAATGGCCAGCATTTGCATGAAATATTTGGGCATAGTTTCCCAAAACCATGTGGATAAAGGTGATAACTGAAATATTCCGGTGTGATTTAAAATATAGTTATGAGAATAGTTTCTATAAATGCTACCTTTTAAATGAAAAAGTCAGCACCAACTCAGTGAAAAAGCCAACACCGACTCACCACACCGACTTAGTGTCACACACTAGAAAAAGAGTAAGTTACAAAACCTGCTGCTTTTAAGCTAAAATTGTGTCAATTCAACTGTACACACAAACATCTAATAAATACACTAAAAGAAAACTTTTTTGACATGTCACATTATGCTTTATTATATTATGAAACATTTTCAGTTAAAAGAGCAGCAAATCTGACTTTATATTTATTTCGTGGGCTTATGCAAGTGCACATGTGTGCGTGTTTGTTTTTTGATATATAAGCCGTAAGCATTTTTTTGCTACTGTGGTTTTGCATAGGGAATTAAAATGTCAGAAGGCTCTCTAAAATTTCTGGTGGAAAAGAAAAGAAAAATACATTGCATCTGGAAAATTGCTAACCCCTTTGATTTACTTCTCCTCCCTTTCCCCTGTCACATTCCAAGCTTTTTCAGATGAGTGAAATGTCAACCTCCTTAAAAGACTCTTAATTCATAAAGGCAAAGTAAATTAATTGAAATGAAGATGGCTCCCATGGTTTGGATCAGAGCAAGGTCTGCTCTTTGTACTCCCTTAGAATCTTCCTTGTGGTTCCTACAGCTTTTAGGGATATGCTTAGAAGCCCTATAGGCTAAAGGACAGGAATAAATGAATTTTAAAAATTAAATTTCAGAAAAAATACTTAAATCAGTGTCTCTTCCTCATAGGAAAAATATTTACAGCAGTTAGACATCTCTTGTAATAAAACCTTAAAATCAAGCAGATGATGGAGATGAGTGATGTCCTAAACAATCATCCCTTGACTTCATAATAACTCTGTTCTTTATTACTTTTGAGTTCTCTCCTTTTAGTTTTCTTCCCAGGACAAACTTGTTCAACTTTGGCCCTGAGAATTATGCATACATGCAGGAGCTCTTGTTAAAGGATTGTTTAGGCAGCTGTTAAATATCCTTCATGTTTTAAAAGAGAATGACTTCTTTTAATATATTCCTGTGTCTGGTCCATAAGAAGTTGCAAACTAAAACTTAGAAAGAAAATATAAGACTTTCCTTTTAAAAGTTCTCAAGTTAATAGTGTTCACGTTCATTTTCTCCTGCTTTCTTAATTGAAATTTTAATGTCCTTTGGCTAATACATTATATTTTTAAAATGAGGGACAAAACTCATTTTTGAATCAAGTGTGCATTTCACATCATCCCTTAGTTTTCCTACTATAACATTTTTTCTCATTATATTCTTTTTTTCTCATTATTTTCTAATAATTAGTTGGAGACTGTAACTCATTTTTTTTAATTTTAACATCTTTTTAATTGAGGTTCTACATCTGCAATGTTTTTTATAAATTAATTCAATCGGCACATATTTTTTCTTAACACCTACAATGTGTGAAGCACTTTTGGGGATAATAAAAGAAATAATAGAACCATGGTTTTGTCCTCGATGGGTTCACAGTCTTCATGGACAGATGCATCCATAAAGTTTACATCCTCAGCCATGCTTCGCGTTTTATGATGGCCATAAGAATTGAATGCAGTTTTTTGTGTGTGTGTGAACATTCTGACCTTTCTTTTTCACTGGATGGATGTTATTACATATTTAAATTATTAAGATATAATAACATGAACTTTTGGTGCAATAGGAAAGATAAAGCTAATACGAAGAGTGCGTAGAATTCACTTCCTGAATTTTCTCTTGCAATTTCTAAACTTATGTTAAACTCAGTTTCATATACCAGAATTCAGATCCCTCACAAAAATGTTGAACTTAGCTGCGCCTGGGGTGGCTCAGTCGGTTAAGCGTCCCACTCTTGATTTCAGCTCAGGTCATGGTCTCAGGGTTGTGGGATGGAGCCCCCCGCCCCTGAGTTGGGCTCTGCTCTCAGCATGGAGTCTGATTATCCCTCTCCCTCTGCTCCTCCCCCTGCTCTTTCTTTCTCTCTCAGATAAATAAATAATAAATAAATAAAATCTTTAAAATAAAAATTAAAATGGTGAACTTGTACACTTAAGAGATGAAAAACTAAGGAGTGTTTTAATTTCCTTTTATTTGGGCTCAAGTTATTAACGGTATTGATTCCTAGGAGTTTGGGGCCCTGAAGTGGTTGAGCCACTTGGACAATTGTTTCCAGGCCATTCTCATCCCCTATTTGCTCCTTCCACATGTTTTTCTTGCACAGATGGTTTAAGGGATGATTCTTGTACTCTTTTCTCCTGAGCAATTTGGTTAAGATTTGGTCCTCATGATAGGAAATAAATGTATTGGAGAATTAGGTAAGGTTTGCAGTTTCATTCATAAACATAAAAGGAAATTTCAGAAAATGATTTGTGGATTTTTGAAAAGATATAATTTCCTTGAGAATATTAAATAGTGATATTTTCTTCTTAAATAACTTCTCATGAAATCAGAAAAAGAAAGCCGCTCTAATCTTTGCCCTCAGTCTTGATAACGTATCTCCAAAGAATAACAGAGTTACTTAACCTATATAATCTTGAGGAAATTCATGAAATTGAGTATATAAATTACTGTAGTGTATTAGCTTCATTGTTTCAATAGGCTGTTGATTTTTTTTTTCACCTCCAAGGAAGGGACATACTGATGCACTTAACAGAGTTCTTACAAAGATGATACGTTACTGTTTCCTTTCAGTATCTTTGCTTTTTTGTCTCAAATACTAGCTGCTTTTTTGACCTCCATCTGCAATTCTTTTATCACTTCCCTATATTTTATATAAGGCTGTTTTCTATATAATGCTGTAGTTTTAGTCTATCAGCAGCTAAATGATGTCTTAGCTAAAAAAGAAGCGGAAAGATCGGCTACAGTGTTTGCCTAAGCTCTTTGAAACATTTAAATGATTTTCTAAACTTACCAGTAACCCTGGCCTTTGTTTTTCAATATTTAATTCAAAGAGAATTATAAATGATGAGTAATTGTTAGATATAATTTTTAATTATTAATTTAGTCATTTTTTTATTTGCTGTCAAATATTTTAGGAGAAATCTAGAAATGATCTTATTTTTAAAATCCTAGTTGGGCTCACTTCTTTTTTCTCTTATTGAAATGTAAAGATGTATGCTTATTATTTAAAACATAAATGCTAACTTTCAGCCATCTCTACTTTAAAAAATTAGGCATCTAAAGTTTCAGCAGACATTATTTCCTTATAGCTATTCATATTTTGCATTGAAGAAAATATGGCTTTTTGTAAGGGACTATATTTAATGAAACACTATATTAAATAGTATTTTTGTTCTTAGTGTCTAAGTCTCATTATATATATATAAATATATTTTATACAAGCCAGGCAGCAATGTCACTAATGATCCAAATGAAAACAAAATCAGAAGTGAAATGCCTAGCAGTAGAGTCCTCATTTATGGCAGGAATCCTCAAAAACAGATTAAATGTGATATTGGTTTTCCAGGGTATAGAAAATGCTCAAACAGGACTTTTTGTTTGTTTTAATAACTCTCCTTTGTAAATGAACATAATGCCATTGTTTATCCTAGAAATATATTGCAAAAATTGTGAATCACTATTCACAGTAAATCACTATTTAATCACAAGTCTTCAAGACGAGGGCTAGCCAATTCTTCAGTTTTACTGCATAAAATAGGAGAGAATTGAAAGAAGCCTTTTCTTTCCTTCCTAGCCTTAGAATTGTATACCACTATGCATTCTTTAAGTTCCAGGAGCAAATAAATGACTTCACATGAGTATTTCATGTACATGACATTATTTTATAGCATGTCTGACTTTAGAGGCAGTACTTACTGAAGTTTTTCATGCATCTTCACATGATGTACCTCTGTAATATTTTCTCTTACTTATTTACCTTAACATATACTCTAAAGACTTAAGAGAATAATTCAGAATAATCACCAGCATTGTCAAAGCATGATAAGTTTTTTCTTTTTTTCTTTTTTAAACACAAGTTTTAAGTAGAAGGCAAAAGGAGCCCCCTACAGGCTATTTATGCCGTCCAATTGGCGGACATAAAAAGAATCAAATGCTTAAAATCTCCCCAAATCACTACAGCAGATTCATAACTTAGGTGGGAGGGCAGGCAGAGGAGGATGTATCTCTGTTTAGAAGGCAGAGAGGGTCCACATATACTGAGATGGGAAAGTAGTTAGACCCTTAGTTTCACTAACCCCTAAAAGAAACTTGGCATTTTCTTTTATTTATGACTATGGACAGCAAATCTCAGTAGCATTAGCAGCACTGTGATTTTGTCACCAATAAAAAGAACAGA